AATGTTTTGAACATCTGTTGAAGAGCGTATAGTTTTTGTCCTTTGTTCTGTTGATGTAATGTATCATGTTTATTGATTTGCATATGTTGAACCATTCTTGAATCCCTGTGATAAGTTCCATTTGATAACGATGTGTTATTTTTCTGATGTGCAGTTGGATTCAGTTTGCTAGTATTTTGTTGAGAATTAGGGATGTTAGCCTATAATTTTCTTTTCTTTTTCTTTTTTTTTTTTTTTTGAGATGGAGTCTTGCTGTATTGCCCAGGCTGGAGTGTAGTGGTGCGATCTCAGCTCACTGCAACCTCTGCTTTCCAGGTTAAAGCAATTCTCCTGTCTCAGCTTCCCAAGTAGCTGGGATTATAGGCATGCGCCACCACTCGTGGTTTATTGTTACACTTTTAAAAACATTAAAAAAAAATTATTTGGCTGAAGGTTGACAGTACACTATTTAATCATAGTATAGCATTCACTTAATGACAGGGATATACTCTGAGAAATGTGTCACTAGGCAGTTTCACTGTGGCATGAACATTGCGTATGCTTACCCAAACCTAGCTGGTACAGCCTACTACACACCTAGACTATATGGCATAAACTATTGCTCCTAGGCTACAAACCTGTTCAGCATGTGAATGAATACTGTAGGTGATTGTAACACTGATATTTGTGTATCTAAACTTAGACAAAGTACAGTAAAAATACGGTATAATCTTACAGGACCACCTTTGTACATGTAGTGAGTCCATCGCTGACTGAAATGTTATACATTACAGGACTGTCTACCTTTAAATAATAATCTGCTGCTTCAGGTATAGTGTAAGGATCTTAAAACAGTGTTTTCCCATCTATTAATTATATTTATTTCAGATTCTTTTTCTGAAATTTCTATATTGTCATTATTCCAGGTTATCTGTGTGTCTGCTTCTGTTGTCACTTGACAATGAGCTTTTTGTTTCTTTTGCCTTTTTGTTTTTTTTGAGACAGAGTCTCACTCTGTCACCCAAGGTGGAGTGCAGTGATGCACTCTTAGCTCACTGCAACTTCTGCCTCCCGGATTCAAGTGATTCTCCTGCCTAAGCCTCCTGAGTAGATGGGATTATAGGTGTGTACCACCACGCCTCACTAATTTTTGTGTTTTTAGTAGAGATAGGGTTTCACCATGTTGATCAGGCTGGTCTCGAACTCCTGACCTCCTGATCCGCCTACCTTAACCTTCCAAAGTGCTGGGATTATAGGTGTGAGTCGTCAGGCCCTGCCTCCTTTGCCTTTTCATTGTAATGTTTGATTGAGTGTTGGACATTATGTGGAGGACAGTAGGCAAGGTCGACAAACTTTTTCTGTAATGGACCAAATAGGAAATATTTTCAGTTCTGAGGGCCATGTGTACTTCCTGTTGCATATTGTTCTTCTGGTTTTTACTTTTTAAAAATTACCCTTAAAAAATGTGAAACCTGGTAGTGTGCAATGGTTCATGCCTATAATTCTAGCACTTTGGGAGCTGAGGTGGAGGATTGCTTCAGCCCAGGGGTTTGAGACCAGCTTGGGCAATGTGGTAAGACACTGTGTCTACAAAAAATATGAAAAATTAGCTGGGTGTGGCCACATGTATCTGTGGTCCCTGTTACTTGGCAGGCTGAGGTGAGAGGATGGCTTGAGCCCAGGAGATTGAGACTGCAGTGAGCCATGATCGTACCACAGCACTCCGGCCTGGGAGGCAGAGCAAGACCCTATCTCCAAAAAAAGAAAGAAAAAAAAGTAAAACCATTCTTAGCTTGCAGCCAGTACAGAAGCAGGTCCTGGGCTACATTTGGCCTCTGGGCTGTGGTGTACCCACCCTGCAGAGGGGAATGAGGTAGGTAGATAGTGCTACGCTCAGGGATGGCTGCTCCTCTTTTTTTACTGGACTGTCATTGTTGGGGAGTTGAGCCGGGTCTGGGTTTTATTGTTGTGTATGTACCTTCTATCCCGCTGGCTTCAAATTCTTCCAACCTTTCCTTGAGCTTAGGATGAGGGCTGAGTTGCCAAAGCGTCTTCACCCATGGCTTTTGGCCTTGCCTCTGTGTCTGCCTTAGCTGCCCCTTATCTTTGGCAGGTCTGTGCTAGAGAAAGTTTCCCTCCTTTCCCTTAAAGTAGTGCTGTAACAGCCCGGCTTAAGCTGGCGCCTGGGGCCTCCCCCAGGGCTGTAGCTGGTGGCCTTTTGTCTTCCCTGGCCACAGCATCCTTCTGATTCTGTAGGTGAGAAGCTTCTTGTTGGGGCTTAGTGCTGTGGCAGCTCCCACAGAGAGACTGTTGAGTCCGCTCTTTCACTCTGCATCTTTAAAGGTTTTTTGTTGTTGTTGTTGTTAAGTAAATGTGCTAAGAAAGAGGTGCTGATTTTGAGCCTGGTTCCAATTACAGTACCCAGTCAAGAAGTAAATTTACCTCCTTGTAAAGGCTGCCAGTAGAGAGGAATGGTAAGGAAAGTTGGCTCCACTCTGGTGAAGGATTGAAGCTTTGCTTGGGTTTGTTGTTTTAGTCTAGCTAATTTTTAGTGGTTGCTACAATGTATGCAAGGCTACCAGATTCTATGACTCCCAGGACCATTCATGTGGAAAATAAACAATATGAATTTTGTCTACCCGGTGACATTGTGTAAACTCAGTGGCCCTGATAGGTGCCATGTGGTCTCTGAGGGATTTGCTGCAGTTCGAGTGAAAAGAAGTAGCTTTTTCTTTTCTTTTCCTTTTTTTTGAAATGGAGTTTCGCTCTTTTTGCCCAAACTGGAGTGCAATGGCACAATCTTGGCTCACTGCAGCCTCTGCCTCCCGGGTTCAAGTGATTCTCCTGTCTCAGTCTCCTGAGTAGCTGGGATTACAGGCATATGCCACTATGCCTGGTTAATTTTGTATTTTTAGTAGAGATGGGGTTTGTCCATGTTGGTCAGGCTGGTCTACGAACTCCTGACCTCAGGTTATCCACCTGCCTCAGCCTTCCAAAGTGCTGGGATTACAGGCGTGAGCCACTGCACTCAGCCAGAAGTAATACTTTTTAAAACAGTCTTTTAAGTGAACAGCATGCTAGTGTTTATGAAGAGTCATACTCTATAAAATATTTGAAGAGAATTATTCTGATGCAACTATGAGTGAGGTCCTGAGAACACGTGCCCAAGGTGGTTGGGGTGCAGCTTGGTTTTATACATTTTTGAGAGGCAAGAGACATCAATCAAATACATTTAAGAAATACATTGGTTTGGTCCAGAAAAGTGGGACAACCGAAAGCTGGGGTGGGGGGAAGGAGCAGGGAGAGGCTACCAGGCTGTAGGTGAATTTAAACATTTTCTGATTGATGGTTGAGTTTGTCTCAAGACCTGGGATTGATAGAAGGGGAATGTTCAGGTTAAGATGAAGGTTGTGGAGACCAAAGTTCTTTTGAAGTCTTATAGTGGCTGCCCTTAGAGACAATAGATGGCAATTGTTTCCTATTCAGATCTCTTTAGGATTGGGAGAGTCTGGAAGAAAAAGATCTAGCCATGTGAATAGAGATTCTTTACAAATGCAGATTTTCCCCCACAAAGAACAGCTTGGCAGGGCCATTTCAAAATATGGTAAAGAAACACATTTTGGGGTAAAATATTTTGATTGTCTTCCTTTTCTTGTAATGCTATGCCAGCGTCAGGTTGGAAAGTCACGATTCATGATTTGTAGGTCATGACTCCCCAGACCCTTAGACAGGAATTTGGGCAAGATAAAAAAATCAGAGTTTAGTCCTCACTGGCAAACATAGAAGGCCCTCATCTTTCTAGTTTAGCACTTTGAAATTGTATGATTGTAATATTTGAAGATGATGGTTATTAGACTATTTAGTTTTTTGATGCTGCTTTTATGAGCTAAGCTTTTATATCAAGCAGTGACTCTGTTTCTAGATTAGCCTGTAGTTTTCTAAACTGTCAAATCTGTCATTTGGAAAGGCTGGGAACCCCTTGAGGGGTAGATTACGGTAGAAAATTTTATTCTAGGCCAAGTGTGGTGGCTCATGCCTGTAATCTCAGCACTTTGGGAGACAGAGGCTGGTGGATCGCTTGAGCTCAGGGGTTTCAGACCAGCCTGACCAGCGTGGTGAAACCCCGTCTCTACTGAAAATACAAAAAATTAGCTGGCCGTGGTGGCACATGCCTGTAACCCTAGCTACTCGGGAGGCTGAGGCAGGAGAATCGCTTGAACCTGGTGTTAAATGTGCTCTGAATGAAGAGACCCTCCAAACAGGCTTTGTGTGAGCAACATGGCTGTTATTCACCCAGGTGCGGGCGGGCTGAGTCTGAAAGAGTCAGCGGAGGGCGCTGGGATAGGACTTGGTTTTATAGGTTTGGGGTCGGCAGTGGAAAGTTACAGAAGTTACAGTTCAGGGCGGTTTTTGCAAGCCAGGAGGGGTCGTAGGGTCTGGAGTCATGAGGTTTACCAAGGTCAGTTACAAAGTCCAGTTGCCTTATCAGCTGAGGCAGGTATAAGGAACATTGAAAGAATGTCTCAAGTTAATTAGGCGCTGCAGGGGTTGACCATTCTTCTTTTTTCTGTGGTCTTCCAGTTACTTCAGACTTTCTAGTTCCAGAAACTCATCTGGAGTGTCCGTGCAGGTCACAGAGGTTACCATGGTGTCCATGAGCCATCAGTCAGCCTAAAAGACCTTACACCAGGAGGCAGAGGTTGCAGTGAGCCAAGATCAGGCCACTGTACTCCAGCATGGGTGACAGAGTGAGACTTCGTCTCAAAAATAAATAAATAAATAAATAAAATAAAAATACAAAAAATTAGTTGGGCATGGTGGCATACACCTGTGATCCCAGTTACTTAGGAGGCTGAGGCAGGAGAATCTCTTGAGCCTGGGAGGTGGAGGTTGCAGTGAGCAGAGATCATGCCACTGCACTCTGGCCTGGGTGACAGAGCAAGACTCGGTCTCAAAAAACAAAACAAAACAAACAAAAAAAAAGTTTTATTCTAACCAGAAGTGTTGCCGCTTTCCCCTAGATCCAGATGCAGAGGTGTGCCTTCATGTACTGAGGCTTGTCCAGTCTGTGGTTCTGGAACCTGAAGTCTTCTCCAAGTCAGCCTCTGAGTTCCGGAGCTCCCTGCCCCTGCAGCGCATCCTGGCAATGTCCAAGAGCCGCAATCTCCACCTGCAAACCGCAGCTCGAGAACTCCTGGAAGATCTCCGCACTCTGGAGCATAATGTGTAGGTGTGCTCGGCTACCAGGGTTTCAGTGAAAATGGCATCCCTCATTTGATATCCCAAAACCATCACCACATGCCGTTTGTTAGAGATGGCAAAATGTGATTGACTAGAGATGGACACGAATTGATATGTATCCCCCATAACTTGCTCTGGAAGTAAGAGTACCTGCAAGTGGTTGGTCAAGCTTGCCAAAGGAGAGGCCATGAACAAACCTATCCTTCTGGAAAAGTGGCCCATGTCTGTGCTGGCTGGAAGAGGGCTTGCTCAGAGCAGCTTCTCACTGCTCAGCACACTATGACCTGTAGGTTCACCCATAAAAAAGGGAAGTTAAATAACCATCTACGCCATTGGTCAGCATTTTTCTGAGATACGCTACTTCGAAAAGCAATTCATTCTTTCTCTAGTAATTGTAATTAATTCCCCCAAAATGCAAGTTTACTTTTATAACCTTTTGGTGAACCTGCTATTTTCAATGACATTGGACAGTTTAGTTGTATGTTTTTTGTGCTTCTTTTATTTTTGAATGAAAATAAAACAAAAGTCAGAAGAGCTGTATTACAATCATTGCTGTCTAAAATATAAAGTTGATACTAGGAAGTTGGTCTTTGTGTATTACCATACTATTCTTGGTTAGTGGAAAAAACTCTCCTTAAATTGTTCTGGGCCCTTGGCTATAAACTTAGAAGTCCTATTTTTCTTCTAACAAATACTGTAAAAACAACTCTTTAATAGATTAGAACACATGCAGCTAGTTGAGATTCCTTAAATGAAATGATAGTTCCAGCTCCCTTTTTGTGCATGGGTGTGCCTGTATGCCAAGGCCCTGCTGTGTCTGTCTTACCTGCCTACTGGTTGCCATCCAGCTTGTTTTGTAGGCCACTGGCAGAGAACAAGGGAGAATACACTTCATTTCTCATGCACACCATGATGGATGAGAGCTGCCATTAGTCTTAGTCTGTTTTCAAACTGCTTAAGAAATGCCTGAGACTGGGTAATTTATAGAGGAAAGAGGTTTAATTGATTCACAGTTCACCATGGCTGGGGGGGCCTCAGGAAACTTACAATCATGGTTAAAGGGGAAGCAAGGCATCTTCTTCTCAAGGTGGCAGGAAGGAGCATGAATGCAGGAGGACCTACCAAACATGTATAAAACCATCAGCTTTCTTGAGAACTCACTCACTATCACTAGAACATGGGGAAAACTGCCTCCATGATCTTGTCACCTCCACCTGGTCTCTCCCTTGACACATGGGAATTATGAGGATTATGGGGATTCTAATTCAAGATAGATTTGGGTGGGGACACAAAGCCTAACCACATCACCCTTTAAATCAATCCTTAAAGTCACACTGGAGACCTCATGCCCTCCTTTTCCTGGGCTGCTTCCTTCGGTGTGGTGCTGCAGGGCTGCTGGGCCCTAGGCATGCTGTGGGAGCAAAACAAATGCAGGCACACCCGCCACTGCAGCCGCGTCCACAAGAATAAACTGTTTTGTTGCATATGGCATTTCGGAGTAACTTCATTTTCTTTTAAGCAGATTTTTATAGGCAGTGTGCAGTTTAAGGCTGAGAGGCTGAGTGAAGAAGTGTAGAGGAAGGCACAGTTGCTTGGATTTCACAAGCCAGCATATTGTGGAAGACTAGCTCATCTGAGCCAGAGGAATGTTGCAGAAGGCAATTTAAAATTCATGGAGGGAGAAATCGATCCATCTGTGCCGTGTGGTTCTGTAGGTCCTGATTATTGGTGAATAAAATTGAGAATGTTGTGTTTCTATACTTAATAGCATGGTACTATCTTCTTTTTGCTTGCTATTTATTTAATGAGGCAATGAGGGATGTTGCCTCTAGGACCACAGGATTTTTTCCTGCCAGACATGGGGTCAGCAGTGTGTAGAGAGGAGTGAGCCTGGGCCAGACTGTTGGATGTTGTATAGTTTAGCTAATTAGTGTATGGGTGTGATTAAGAAGGATCATTTCTTTTCTCCTGATTTTGAGGTGCTAAGAAGTAAGAGTTCTTACAAAAACTCTTTCAGGAAGAAATATATGACAAATCCATGTTTTGAATGTATATACCAGGAAAAGCACTTAAGGCCGATTTTAAGGAGTGACCTGCCTCTCTAATATTTCTGCTCTTCATGTCAAGGTCAACAGGAAAACATAGGTTCTTTAAGTTTTTTACAACTAGTGATCTAAAGAAACCTCAGTTTTCAAAAAGGTGTTTGTAAAAGCACGTACTTTGTAGTGTTTGAGATCTTGTGAATTTTAAAGTCAGACAAAGCAGTAAAATAGTGCATATATTTTGAAATGTTGTTTTTATTTTATTTTATTTTTTTTGAGATGGAGTCTCACTCAGTTGTCCAGGCTGGAGTGCAGTGGCACCATCTTGGCTCACTGCAGCCTCTGCCTCCTGGGTACAATTGATTCTCCTGCCTCAGCCTCCTGAGTAGCTGGAATTACAGGTGCACACCACCATGGAGGACTAATTTTTGTATTTTCGGTAGAGACAGAGTTTCCCCATGTTGTCTGGGCTGGTCTCAAACTCCTCACCTCAAGTGATCCGCCTGCCTTGGTCTTCCAAAGTGCTGAGATTACAGGTGTGAGCCACTGCACCTGGCCTTGAAATGTAATTTTAACAGAATTCCTCTTACATTGATTAAGTTAAAGAACTGTTTTTCTCCTTGGCACTGTCAGTTTGTATATAAAGATGTGAAACCTGGCAGGCCAGCAGTCAGACTTGACTCCCTCCTTTCTCACCCCTTCCCCCACCCAGCTCTGAGCAAGCCTCTTGCTGTCTGGCAGCTCATTAACCATCAGAGCTGCTTTCTCTTCAGTCCGAAAAGAGCAAACCCTTGTTCTGACTGACAGCAATATGGAGACTTCATGGGTGGCTTTGGAGACTATGTCTCCTCTGGCATAGCTTGGGATAAGCCTCATGTCACATAGTTCTTCTAGTTCCATACAGTTATATAGCCTGTGTCGTTCACTCATTCCAGAGGGTTTTAAAGTTAATTAAAGGACCAAACATAGGCTCACAGGTCTGGAGCCTGAAGAAAATTAGACCAAGGCTGGAAGTCAGGCCGTGGTCAAGGAAGTGGTGACAGAAAGAGTCAAACTCTGTAAAAGATTTGAAAGGACTTATTTTGAGCCAAATGTGAATGACCAGTGGCCTGTGACACAGCCCCAGGAAGTTCTGAGAACATGTGTCCAAGGTGGACGGGCTACAGTGTGGTTTTATACATTGTAGGGAGACATGAGACATCAATCAATACATGTAAGACATACGTATAATACATTTGTTTTGTGTGGAAATGCAGGACAATTGGAAAGGGCATGTTGGGGGGCATGTTCCAGGTCTAAGGCAGATTCGAAGATTTTCTAATTGGCAATTGGTTAAAAGAGTTAAGTTATTATCAAAAGACCTGGAATTTATAGGAGGCAGTATCTGTTTTAAGATAAGGGGTTGTGGGGACCAAGGTTCTTATTATGCAGATGAAGCCTCCAGGTAGCAGGCTTCAGAATAGAGTGGAAATGTTTCTTATCAGACTTAAAAGGGTACCAGACTCTTAGTTAATTCTCTCCTGGATCAGAGCAGAGGAAAAGGATTCTCTACAGAATGTAGCTTTTACCCACAAGAGACAGCTTTGCAGGGCCATTTCAAAATATGTCAAAGAAACATATTTTAGGGTATAATATTTTGATTTCTTTCAGGGCCTGCTATCTGTCATGTGATGCTGTACTACAGTCAGGCTAGAACTTGGTGTCTAATTGCCAGAGAGTCCCAGGATCTCTGCTCTAATGTCTATATCAGTCAGCTACACCTGAATTTCAAAGGGAGGAGGCCTAATGAGGCATGTCTGACCTCCACTTCCCATCATGGCCTGTACTAGTTTTTCAGGCTAACTTTGGAATGCCCTTGGCTGAGAGGAGGCATCCATTCAGATGGTTGAGAGGCTTAGAATTTTATTTCTGGTTTACAGAAGTTTTGAATAAAACTTGTAAATGTGCCTACCCATTCCATCAATTTGGCTCGACCTGCCATTAGCTATTTTGCCACACGTTAATATAAATAGAAAAGGTTGATAAAAACGTTTGCAGACTTACTAATTTTCTGAGAAGTCCTGAAGTTTGCTCTGTTTTCTTCCGTGGCATAGGTGCTGAGAATGCCTCAGAACTTCTCCAACCAGTATAGGAGCCTGAGCATAGACCCTGATACAGTGTAGGATGTGGCATCCTGTAGGCCAGTAAAAGGCCTTTGGATGCTTTTGGAGTCCAGGCTCAGGTAAGAAGGGCAAGAGATAACTGGTACACCTCTGTCTTCACAAACTCTCATCTTTAAGTGCCACGGCTGCCTCTGTGTTCTGAGAATGTATACATTTAAATTTATCTCCAGATGTAGAATAAGAAATTGGAGTCCTTTGAATGTGCTAATTAGTGCATGCTACAAAATGAAAATGTTGTTACTATCCTTTCTAATTTGCAATTTTCAAAGTTTTGAAATTGTTAAATGCACCTAACATAAAATTTACTGTTTTATCTTTTTTTTTTTTTTTTGAGATGGAGTTTCCCTCTGTCACCCATGCTGGAATGCAGTGTGCTATCTTGGCTCACTGCAACCTCCACCTCCTGGGTTCAAGCGATTCTCCTGCCTCAGGCTCCCCAAGTAGCTGGGACTACCGGCATACATCACCACACCCAACTAATTTTTTTTTGTATTTTTGGTGAAGACAAGATTTCACCATGTTGGTTAGGCTGGCTTTGAACTCTCGACCTCAGGTAATCTGCCAGCCTCGGCCTCCCACGGTGCTGGATTACAGACGTGAGCCACCACCTCTGACCTAAAATTTACTATTTTAACCATTTTAAAATGAAGAATCAGTGGCATTAAAGAAAAGTCTATTCAAGACCTTTGTCCATTTTTGAGTTGGATTGTTTGCTTTCTGTTGTTGAGTTACAGGAGCGAAACCTTGTCAGATGTGGGATTTGCAGATGTTACCTCCCATTCTCTGGGCTTTTTTGTACTCTGTTAAGTCCTTTGGTGTGCACGGGTTCATTTTGGTTAAGTCTAGTTTATTGATTTTTTTCTTTTATTGCTTATGCTTTTGGTGTCATATCCAAGAAATCATTATCAAATGATTTGGTACAAGGGCTTTCTCCTGTGTTTTCTTCTTTGTTTTAAGTTTCACCTCTTTAGGTCTTTGATCCATTTTGAGTCAATTTTTACACATCATTCAGCTGAAGGTTCAACATCATTCTTTCACATGTGTATTGTCAGTTTTCTCCCACCATTTGCTGAATTTTATAATTATTTGAAAATGTTATTACAAATGTGATTTTCAAAACTCAAACATTTATTTATACTATGCTTATATGCTCACCATATTTTTAAATTATTTAGCTTCATGAATGGCCCCTTTTTTTTTTTGAGACAGGATTGTGTTTTGTTGCCCAGGTTGGAGTGCAGTGGCATGATCTTAGCTCACTGCAGCTTCTGCCTCCTGGGCTCAAGTGATCTCCTGCCTCAGCCTCCAGGGCAGCTGGGACTCTAGGCGTGTGCCACTATGCCTG